CATTCGAAAGCACAAAATGGTCGATCAGAATCGTTATGGAAAGAAGAAAACTCAATGTCTTTTGAGCGTTGAAGAAGTGATAATGCAGTGTGCTTCACCGCAATTGAAGGTGATGACCCCGATCATTTGTTTATATCCGGGGTCATTATACTGTCCAGACACCACGCGATGCGTGGGCGTGTGGTGTGAAAAATGTAATCAGTTGCCATTGTTTTACACGAGACGTTACTTGTAGTGTGAGATTTGGTATTGTTTCTGTGACGTTCGCGGAATTTGGACACAATGCACACTTTTTAGGTCGGGCAGACCGAATTACTAGACAGCGGATGTGGTGCAAATGGTCGGATGGTCGATGTATTCAGTGTGAATATTGGACTTGGGACCGATCAATGCGGTCGGTGTTCGGAGTAAACAGTGGTCGGATTTCACAGGTTGTTTTAACATAGGCGTCTATGGAGAAATTTCGGGGCTACATAAATCGGTCGGTTCTGACAGTAGGTCGGTTTATCCAGGGGTCGGTTTTGACAGGTTTTACTGTATCTTGTTGTTGTGTTATTGAATAATCTTAACACAATATGGCTACCCCATTCTCCGCCATGTGCTGATTTCATTTGTGACTAGATAACATACAATACCTACCTGATTGAAATACATATCTTGATAATCCTTGCATTAATTCTGCAGGCCATGTGGGTGGAGCCGTCTCCATAGATTCTCTTTTTAACCTGAATGTTAATTCAAACCCAAATCCACTTGGTCCTTCACCCCCTGTGAACCTGACAAATAATATAGGTAGTAATTTTGTCTTCATTACAAACATAATCTTAACTTTGGGAAGAAACATACGTTTCCAATCATTTAGCTATCGTCTCATCGGCTTTACATACACAAACAATTACATAGTTGATGACTTCCCCTTTTATAGGCCTATGTAGGGTCTGTACACGAACCTAAACAACTACAGATCACTATATAACCCCAAATTAGATATATGTTTGTGCCAATATTATGACAATAAATTGCAATGTGTGGTAAATTTTTTCCACGAAAATAGAAAAAGAACCAACACCTGTCACGGGATCTTTGAATAAATCACTACAATTTTGCAAAAAAATTAAGTTTTAAACTACTGTAAAAATTAAAATGTTCGTACATATGCGCATGAGTCATCGTAAATTCCTTGTTTATAACCATGGTAACAGGTTCTAAAATCTTTGGGATTGCACCAGTGCTTCAAGAGAAATGCAATTTACTATGAATACAAAATTCACGTATTTACCAGAGGTATTAATTTAGTGTGCCAACATCTTATGTACACTATACTGCCTTGATAAAAGGTGTTGTCACGAAATAAATTTGTGATTGGAATATCCCATGACTGATGTTCAACTTATAAGCTGAGAACTGCACTTAAAACAAGTAGTAAACTAATGTAAAAATTGTATTCTACAAAAAAAACCCAGATGAAACACTTCCTTTCTTTAGAACTACTTACTCATGAACCCGTCCATCACCATGGAGATCTGAGATTCCAAAACTAACATAGTGCCAATGAGGAGGTACACCTTTCTCTGGGTCTCCAGGATTGGAATACATACTGATGTAGTCCAAAGGGTCAGGACCACCTAACCTGTTGAAAAACCACACAAAGTTTAAGAATTGTCTTCATAAATGTATGTAGTTCAGTCTCTTCCCAAAATAAGTGGTACAACATTCAATTATCTCTTTATTAATCAAAGGCAACATACCACTACTCACATTATGCATTTTATTTATCACACATGAAATCATGGAGCTAAAACAGGAGTGAACACTCATTGATGCTAACTACTTGCTCTGTAGATAAATCTTAATGGGTTTATTGAGGGATTAGAGGATGTGAATATTCAAATTAGCAGTTTGGCATTCATTACAAAAATGGCAGTTATATTGATTTTGTCGTAAACTCCAGCAACTACAGGAGTACAATTTCAATGGGGATTATATTTATAAACTTGACGGAAAAAATGAGTTTCATTGTTATTTTAAATGTTCACATGGATTTAATTGAATTTCCATAGACGACAATGTTAACATATGACGAGATTGCTATATGAAAATGACGAAGAAAGTTGAAAATATGGCTCAAAAATGGGAAATCAACATGCCAGTAATCAACCATATGAAAAAAACTAACATGTTGGCCAGCTCAAACTCTTGCAAATCTCAGGGAAACAAGACACACCTACTGTATTTGGATTGCACCAAGAGAAATCACTGGAAAAACACCAAGATTAGAACATCCATTAACACACAGAATAAACCCACAGGTACACAGCCGCTAAGTAGTAAACAAAAGACCACATGTTGGTCTCACCTCTGACCCAGGTGATTACGCCCTCAAACAGGGAGCACCTGAGAAAAATAATATTTAACAAGTCATTGTCAATGACACGTCCCCGTTCCGTTCATATTTAAGTGACATATACATTCAAAGCAGATCATGACCGAAATGCACCTGCATATGTACAAACACATTGTGCTAAATCTGAACAAAATCCATCCATGCATGACTGAGATCCGGTTCTGGAATTGTGAAAATACGTGATTTTGATGCATTTTCGGCCTTAAAATGGCCATCATTTCGCTATTGTTAAGCAGATCATGAAACAAAGGCACATATCTATTTGTGACATGATGTACCATGTGTGTGTGAAGTTTGAACTTGATCAATCCAGACATGTCTTGGATACGGATCCAGAACTGAATTCTTTAACAAAATGGCCGCCAGTCGGCCATTTCGACTTGATCCGAA